TTTTAAGGTAGGAAATATTTCCTCTTTTATTTTTCTTTCTTTTTTTTTTTTTTTTAATTTTTACTTTATTTCCAGGCTCTGTGACATCCAGATTTGTTTGTGTCTCTTTGCTCGGAAAGAAAAAAAAAATTAAATAAAGCGGGAGGGGGAGGGGGGGGTAAGAATAACATTATTTCGTCCCGCAATCGCCAAAGCGTATTTATAAATTGGCCGTAACAGAAGCTGGGACTCGGGCTGGTTGAACACGCAACGTCTTGCGGGGGGTGAGGGGAGGAAGGTTAAGAAAGAAACGGTCTTAGGGTCGCAAATGTTTTCTTTGAGAGGTGCGGGTTTTCCGCGGGGGTCCCCCCAAATCGCCTGGGAAAGCGGCCAGGGGAGTTGCAGGCGGCCCCGGTGGCAGCGAGCTCCTTTTCGTTCCTGAGAGTCTCTCTCCCGGGCGGTTTTGCCATGTGTGTCTGTCTCTCCCCTACTCTCAAAGAAAATGTTTTAATGGCTCGATCTTATTTTTAGTTTCTTTGAAGATTCGGGTTTGGTTTTAAAAGGCACTGTTTAGGGTTTCTTTATTTTTAAGAAGAAGAAAAGTTGGTGAAACTCAGGACTGACGTTTATTTTTTCCTTTCTTTTTCTTTTCTTTCTTTTTTTTTTTTTTTTTTTTTTCCAATGAGACATTCAAATGCACGTTTAAAAGAAAAATACGATCCTTCAGGAAGTTTGGAGAATTCCCGTACTTTTTTTTTTTTTTTTTTTTTTTTTTTTAATCCCCCGTTTTCCCACCCCCTCCGTGCGTGGGTTTTTTGGTGTATTGGTAATTATTTGTATATAGATTATTCGGGAGCTAATGAGCGGAGTCCAGTTAACTCTTCACTGGTTGTGCATCCGTCATATCTATTTTATTGAGAGAATCTGTGAATAATTTGATGTGGAAAAGGCAACAGAATTTTGTCCACCGTTGGTGTAAATTAATAAATGTTTGTGACCTGGTTAAAAAAGAAATAATAATAATCCAAATGGTTCTTTTGCGATGTCCTTTGTCACGTTGAGAGCCCCGCTCGGGCCTCGGGCAACCGAGTGGCTCCCACCTTCGGGCTGGGGACACCGGGGCCGCGGGGCTGAGCCCTGCCCTCCGCGCCCGGGCGCGAAACCTACGCGGGGCTGCTCCGCGCCGCCTCCATTCCCACCGCTGCCACACCGGGGGGTGGTGGGACCCTCTTTGGGTCCACGGGCCGACAAGGGAAAGGACCCCCCCCTATTTTTTTTTGTTGTTGTTGCTGATAATTTTATTTTTTATTTCTTTGGTTGCTTTTTGGTGTGCCTCCCCCCAAAAAAACCCAACAAAAAAACAAACAAGAAAAAAACCCCGCAACCCTCTGCTTGTTTCCAGGGGGGGAAAAGTGGGGGCCGGGAGAAAGGTTTCTTCCTTCTCCCCCTCCTCCCCTTCCCTTTATTTTGTTTGGAAAAGTTGACACATGAGAAAATAAGTTGGAGGGTTTCCCCCCCGCACACACGTCCCCCTTGGGCCTTGCAGCATTTGAATGACCGAATGAAACTTGATCTCCGCCTAAATTTTGCAACAACTTACAAAGTAAATAAACATCTTTAAGCGCTCCCTTCTCCTCCAAACTTCTCCCTCCCCTCCCTCCCCCCCCCCACCTTTATTTATTTCAGGGACCAAACGTGGCTCTTTGGTTTGTTTGTTGGCAGGGTCCCTGATCTAAAGAATCGAGGCCTTTCTTGCCCGTGCAGCAGCTGAAGGAGAAGGAGAAAACAGGAAAAAAAATGCTGAGACGTACCGAGGCAGGGAGCGGGGAACGGAGCGGGGCTTTGTGCGGGGCCGGGCAGTGTGCGCCGGGGCCGGGGGAAGGAAGGGGGGTGTCGGGCTTTTCTTTTCTCTACCCCCCCACCCCCATCCTTTTTTTTTTTTTTTTTTTTAAATTTATTTATTTATTTATTTTTTAAATTCCCTCCTCCTCTGCCCCTGTCGTCTGTGCCACCTCGAACCTCCGCGCAGTTTGTTGATGTTGTTCCTGGACGTGCCGCCTCCCCCGCAGCGAGCGGTCTCACATCTCGCCTTCAACACACATTTGCTTTTGAAAAGCGATCTTCGTGTCCGGCACTTGGTTGTCTCCCTTTCATGTCCAGCTCCTACAAAAGGGGCTACAAGACTCGACATGGGAGAAAAGAGGAGGCCAATGAATCTATTTTCCAGATTGCCAAGCACATGGTTGGAAATTGAAGGGGCTTTTGTAGCATTTCCCCTTCCTCCCTCCCTCCCCGCTCCTTTTTCTTTTGCTTGTGTGCAAATTGTTCAATTGCTCTGGCAGGGGAGTTCCTGACAAGCTCATTACTAGAAGGTGCCAGACCCCTCCTCTCCCTCTCCCCCGAAGTCTTTGATGAAGTTAAAATGCGCTGATAGCTGCTCTCGGGGCTATCTTTGTTCAGCCTCCTTTAATAACCGAGCCCGCTTTGAGGAGACGGGATCCGCGGGAAGAAAGCGATGTGCGGCCAGGCTGGGTGGTGGCGGTGTGTGTCTGGAAGAGGGAGGAAGGAGGGGGGAAGTGGGTTATTTTAATATAAAGTAGCGATTTTTAATTAATTTATTTATTTATTCATTTATTTTTACTTTCTTTGTTGGCGAAGTGCGGCAGGAAAATGAGCCGAGGGTGCCAAGGAGCGGATAAGAAAT